ATCATCCAAACAGAAATAGTGCTGTGAAACCGGGGCCAACGTTGAACTTTTCGCTGACTTCGACTTTTCCTGAGTCTATTTTCTCTTGCCCTTAGCGATTTTAGTCAGCGAAATTCTTCCTTTGCTCTTTCCCAGTGATTCAGGAGCTCGTTTATGACAAATGATAAGCACTGTACTAAGCTGTCAAATGGAAGTGTTTGTAACTTGTACACTGATGCATCTATCGTGACTCCTGTTCGGTTGGATTCATTAACTTAGGTAAGAATAAGAGGAAACGAGATCACGTATACTGAATATTTCCCACATTGTACTGACTTCCACGAACGCAGCGGTTCTTATCAGTACTGCCGTACTTGTCTAGTATTTGAAAACCATGATATAAAACATAAGGCACTTTTCAGATGTCCTGTGGTCTATATAGCAAACACAGAAACGGAAATACTACAAAAAAGTGTTCCACGTGTTTACACCTTCTGTTAAAACAACCTCGAGACCCACACTAGAGTAAACAATGACTTAATGTGTCGCCAAAATAAATCCAAATAATTTGGTTTTATCAACTATTGATGACTAAATTGGCTACCGTAAAAGAAGTTTTTCCCTCCGTCAGAGCTTAAAAAAAATCCACTTAGTACAGAAATAAACAAACCAAATTGAAGCTAATTTGGTTTTATCAACAGTTGATCATGTAAGTTGGCTACCGTAAGGAGTTTGAAGGCTGAAGTTTCGAGCGTTAGCCATTCATCAGAGCGTTAAAAAAAAAAAAACAAAAGAAAGAAAAAACAGCTAGTGCTCGAGCCCAATACTCTGTTGCGGGAACCAAGGCCGTCTGTTTATGGCTTCCAATTTTCTAGTACATTTCGATGCTAAGCGGGCGCTGGAAAACTTTACAATGCGATTTGCATTTTAGACACTTTAGTCACTTTATATTAGCCCACAATGTGATCACATGCAAAAAGGTTATCAATGTCATACGACTATGTGAAGTCGATGAGTTTAACGTTGTCCTTCGCCGTGTTGTGTGACAACGATATGATACTCTGCAGTTGCTAACTGCAGAGTATCCTTTTCCCGGGTGCACTTTTTCTGAATTTTTTTTGAAAGCATAGAGTGAAAGTTACAAGGCCATAGAAGATTGAGGGTCATGTAATCCAAACATATTCATGGGGTCCTCTTAGCCAATTACGCTCGTTTTCCATGTAACGTACGCACATGGCCAGGAGCTATGGTCCAATCAAACACAGACTGAACCACGGCGACGTAGCTTTACGTCTGTGAACTTTGCTCAACTGTTGTCCTTAAATCAAATTGGATTTCCTTAACAGTTACTCTCGGATGTTGGGAGAATACTGTGATGATAAAAGAAATGTCTTCCCTTGAGCTAAATCGTTATTAAAACACAAATGGCGAGAAGTATGTTGTGCCCCAGACGGAGCCAAATGTGGTTAATTTTGGCTTGAGACAAGGATCACGCCACCAAGGCAAATGTGAACTTTAGCCTATCACGTGGAAATACATGGGGGAATAAGGCTTTTGTTTACACTCTATTGACACTTTGATAAAGAAAATTGAACTTTTGGGAATCACGCCAAGAGTTGGTGCGATGCATTCAAACGAGTGTAAAATGGCCATGGCCCTGTGCGCTCTCTCTCTGCTTGAAATTCTGTGGTTTGGAAAACTCCAGAGAAGTTACTACTCGATTGAACTTGTGTGTCATGATTATGAATAAACTGAAATAAATCATAGGGACGGGTTAATTTACGTTTTTCAGCTTATTTCGAAGTAAACAATTTTTTATAACCTATGACCAAACAAAGGATACGAATACAACGATCACAACTTTACGCTTCTTTTCAAAGGATCGATCGACCTGTAAAGACTGTAAAGGATGCCAGAAGCGGCAAAGTCTTCTGACTGTAAATGTTAAAGTCAAATTGAAAAAGAGAAAAAAAGACCAATTTCTATCTATAAAAATACTTTTTCACGGCAAAACTTCAATACAGGGCCACTTTTAACCATCCACCAAACGAGCCGGCTCGGATTGTCTGCTATGCGCATTTCCATTACACTTCGTTCTTTCATCCACTGCCGAGCCAAACGAACCATAAACGGCACACGCTTCTTCAAAAGTAGCCCTGTATTGTGTAGTAGCGTTTCGCTTACAGCTTACATCACTGTTAAATAACGCATGCAGTTGCAGTTTGAAGCTTTTTGCCTACATAGCTCGAATTTATTAACTCATTCAAACTCACCGGTAAAACGATTCCCACTGCAAATTTGGTAACCACCGAAAACATAACCTCCTTGAAAATTGCCACTCGTTCCCAATCTTCATACAGCAGTGATCCAGAATAGGGCACGCCGCTAAGGATTATTACCACACATGCTAGTAATAACACTGTGAAAAAAATGGGAAACTTGTTCTCCTTCAAAGCTTTCCACGGTGATAAACGATTGTCAGACGCTGACTGTGCTTCAGTTGAGTGGGTATCGTGGTTTGTGGTAGGAGTCACTGTCAGGAGAAAGACGACGAGCGATATAGTCAAAAAGAAGGCAAGTTTGAGGACCATTTCAGAAATAAGTGCGTGAGAGAAACAGCTGTGCCATAAGATCACTGCGGAACCGACCAATCCAAAACCAAGTGCAGTGAATATTTGGACTTTCGGAAATAGAAGTTGCTTTTCATTTCTATCGGGATGGTCATAATAGACAGTCATCATCGCCGTCAAATTACAAGTCTGATAGAACATCAGAGAAAGCGATAGAACTCTTAAAAAACTCTATGTCTCACCAGGTAGAATAGTGAAGCCATTCCACCATTCTACAGTGTAGCGTTTACGGCGGACAAAATATAAATTCTAAAGTTCAAGGGCGTGTCGCTCCAAAACGCGGTTAACAAGGTGTTTGGGACTATTTTACTGATCGAAATGACAAACCAAAGTTGACTGTTTGCCCGAATCTTTATTCTTGAAAGGCAATCGACCACGAACCACAATCAATGACGAAAATAACGATTATTCTCACAGTCAATCAATCTATTGAAC